AAAAAAAAAAATCTGTATTGGGGAGGTAGGGAGGGAAGGGATGGTAGGGGAAAAACAAAGGAGGAGGTAACAATGCTCGAAAGGAACTGGACTCATTACCTTACTCATGTAACTGTAACCCCTCTGTACAGTATTTTTTACAATAAATAACATTCAAAAAATGAAAAAAAAACTGTATAACCCAGAGATGTGTTTTTTTTCCCTCCTTCTGAAGTGTGTATAGAATACCGGGTGACAACAATTGGTCTGATCACACCATCTCGTCCTCTCATTGGTGGTTTGGAGCCTGGCTGCCCTAATCACATGCCTGTCTTGGTTTCTTTCAGCGATCTGAAGCTGGACAATGTGCTGTTGGATCATGAAGGTCACTGTAAGCTGGCAGACTTTGGAATGTGTAAGGAGGGGATTTGTAATGGAGTCACCACAGCCACGTTCTGTGGCACACCTGACTACATTGCTCCAGAGGTGAGTGTACCTGTGGAGCCCTCCCTGACCACAACCATTGCCACAGGCTGTTTTCCTGTGCCACAGCCATGCAGGCAGTGCTGGCGTGAACGCCTCCAGACGTTATGGTTCACTGGGCGGATGGGCTGAAAATGTCCGAGGTTCATGTAAATAAAATTTGGGGCTAAAAATAATTATAAATTTTGCAGTTGCTTTATTCACTTAAATGAGGGCAAAATATGTTCCACTCATGGCAACCTAGTTCATTTTCCTTCTTGTCTCTGTGTAGTGGTTTAATGCCAGCCTCATTTAGCAGATCTAAAGACAAGCTTTTGAGTCTCATATGAAGGAAAGAACGCAGTCTCTTCTTCTCTCTGTTTTGTTAGTTCTCTCTCTCTTTCTCTTCATTCTTTCTCTCTCTCTCTCCTTCCTTCTTTTCTTCCTTCCTCCTTCCTTTCTTTCTTTTTTTTTTTGTGCTGGTAATTGGGCTTGAACTCAGGGCATCATGCTGTATCTTGGGTTTATTGTTGATGTTGTTGTTTTTGCTGAGGGCAGGTGCTTTAATATTTGAGCCAGGCCTCAAGTCTGGCATTTTGTTGGTTAATTGGAGATGAAAGTTTCATGGACCTTCCTGCTCCAGACCAGTTTTGAACCATGATGCTTGGATCTAAGTCTCCTGAGTAGCTAGGATTGCAGGTGTGAGCCACCAGCACTTGGCTGTATTGGTAGATTTTCAAACATATTGCTGTTTTGAGTCTGCATGTGCCACTCCCATGGCCTGAGCAGATTGTAAATGCTTCATCACTCAGAAGAGAAGACACTGCTATAGACCAGTCTATAGAGATGGAATAAAGCAAGCATACTAACACAGGAGACTTCATTTTTTTCTGTAGTCCATCATCTCCTCTAGTCATGAGGAATGCCTTTGTTCAGCAGATGCGTGCAACCCCTCTCACAGTGTCCTCATTTGCCCAGATTCTCCAGGAGATGCTGTATGGGCCAGCTGTTGACTGGTGGGCCATGGGCGTATTGCTCTACGAGATGCTGTGTGGCCATGCACCCTTTGAGGCGGAGAATGAAGACGACCTCTTTGAGGCCATACTGAATGATGAAGTGGTCTACCCTACCTGGCTGCATGAAGAAGCCACAGGGATCCTCAAGTCTGTAAGTTTGCCTTGTCTAGCCTTCTCCCTACTGCAAACATACTTTTACATGGGCTCCTTGTATCTTTTCTGAATGTCTCCTACTTGTAAGCGACTAGCACTAACTAAAGTTTGTCTTTCAAGCTAAAGCATCAAAGAGTTCTCAGGCGTTTCCCCTTCTTGTCTGCAGTACTTATTTCCAGGCCAAGTGCAACATAAGTTGATAGTTTTGTTTGCCAGCAATCAAGTATTTCTAGCACTTCGCTTTCGATTGTTTCTATATTCTAGCACTAGGGCTTGAGTTTATGCGGCTTCCCCTTCACAGAGGTGACAGTGGGCAACAGATTTAGTGAACACCATTCCCAGTTTGTTATGATATCACTTGTGCTTCTATTCACCATTTCCAAGGATGAGACCAAAAGGGACTTTCCCTCACTACTCCCAGAAGAGGAGATTTTTCCGAACCTCTCTCTGTCTCTTTGGCCACCATGATATTCTTTTATGCAAGACAGGTGACCAAGATTCTGTACACTCTGTCATACTGAGAAATCTTCATTTTGTGTTGTTTGTTTTGTTTGTCCTTGGGCTTGAACTCAGGGCTGGGTCCTGTCTTGAATCTTTTTTGCTCAAGGCTAGTGCTCTATCACTTGAGCCACAGCTTCACTTCAGCTTTTTGGTAGTTTGTTGGAAATAAGTATCTCATAAGTTTTCTTGCCTGGGCCAGCTTTGCATTGCATTCTCAAATCTCAGCCTCCTTAATAGCTAAGATAGGGTTACAGGTATGAGCCACTAGCAGCTGACCCATTTTTTAATGCATTCAAATCACTCTTTGCTGAGAAAGAAACATGGATTTGATTCCCTTACATTCAGAATTAAAATGTCTATCTAATTTAGGTCCATTTTACACTTTTCTGTTCAAAAACCATGTAGCTACTGGGCTCTGGTGGCTCATGCCTATAATCCTGGGTACTTAGGAAGCTGGGATCTGAGGATCATGTTTCAAAACCAGCCCAGGCAAGAGAGTCTGAAAGACTTGTATCTCTAGTTAACCACCAAGAAACCAAAAAGTAGCTTTTTAAAGTAGTGGAGCATTAGCCTTGAGTGAAAAAACTAAAAGGATAATATCCAGCCCCTGAGTACAAGCACCAATATCATTACATATAAACACACACACACACACACACACACACACACACACACAAATCATGTAGTGTCATTATGATAGTCAGAGTCTTAAAAAAATCCATTTATTAGGGTAAATTAGGACAACCTGTTCTCTATTGGCTATTCTCAATGTGATTTTATGGGATTTTATCCCATAGATGTCATTCTCAGTTAATATTTCTTTTAATTACTGTCCTAAAGTTATATCTTTTCCAGTGATGAAAAACAAAAGCTGAATCTGGTAAAATATTTGCAACCTTGTTGAAAGACTTGTCTAATAGGAAGCTTATGATAAGTGCCATTGTGAGAACATTTTGTACGCAGGTCACAGTGTAATGGCATGATGGTCACTGAGAATTCTCTGAATCACTAAAAAAGAAGTAACACAGAAATCCTTCTCAGGGAAATATTGCCAAGATGAATCACACTTTATTCCATGAATTCTCATGCTCTCGGGTGCTGATACTCTCCTGAAATAGAAACAACATTGATTCCTATAGAAATAAAGTAAAATACTTTGAAAGTCTGCCAAATGCCGCCTGTCTAGCAAGTTTTCTTTAAAACAACAACAACAACAAACAAAACAGTTTATTTAGTGGCAGTTTTAAACTGAGAGGTGTGGCTGTTGATGTTTTATGAATAAAACATTATTATAGAGAATGCCTTACCTGTGTGGACTTGAGGCATACAGTTTATTAACTTCCTGAAAGGAAACTTACTCACTTGGATTGGCCAAAGCTGACCTTGATAACATGAGCTGTAGTAACAGCTTCACCATGCAGTGGTATTAAGCGTGCATTGTCACTTTCCCAGTGCT